GTATGGCTAGTAAAGATCTTCTCCCAATCTGTGGGCTTTCTATTGATCTTGCTAGCTATGTCATTTGCCCTGCAGAAGCTCTGCAACTTTATGCTGGGGATTTAATTTTTTGAGTTCCAACAACCCTTGTCCGTTTGTATGGCTAGTGAAGATCTTCTCCCAATCCGTGGGCTTTCTATTGATCTTGCTAGCTATGTCCTTTGCCATGCAGAAGCTCTGCAACTTTATGCAATCCCATTTGAGGAACTAACTTTTGAACTCTGCTTATCCCCAGCCAGGACATCACAGGTGATATTTACTACTTCAACTTCGCCAATGGGCAGTCCATGTGGGACCATCCATGTGATGAGCACTATCGGAACTTGGTGATCCAGGAGCGAGAGAAGCTATCTACTCCTGGGGCCACTAAGAAGAAAGATAAGAAAAAGAAGAAGGAAAAGAAAAGCAAGAAGGACAAAGAGACCACCAAAAGTCCCCGGGTAAGTAAGTGGGTGTCAGCTTCCAGGGAGGCAGGGTTGAAACCTGAGGGGTATTGGATATCTCTAGATGTCTGTAGCAGGGAACAACAGCAATCCAGCTTTAGTGGCACACACCTATAAGCCTGTTACTCAGAAGGCTGAAGCAGGTGTTTAAAAGGCCAGTCTGGGTTATATAGTGAGACCCTGTCTCAAACAACCCTTCCCCCCCCCCAAGAAAAACCCCAATAATAAATTCAAAAGTACATCATCTAAAGTTTGCCTATCTTCTGGCTGACTTTTTTCTTCAGTTTCCAGGATTGTTAACTTCTTTAAATAATTTCTTTCCTTGGGAAGTATGTGTTATATAACAGAATAGAGCACACTCTGTCCAGGATGGTGTTTTGTAGAAATCTGGGAAGAGGTGGTGTGTGTCATTCTGGAATAGTCGATGAGGCCAGTGTGCCTAGATGAATGGGTGTGGGCTCATGTTTGTCTTTAAGTGGTATGAATTTCATTATCAGAACACCCATGCCTTCAGGATTCAAATGAGAGCTCTGGGCTTTCTCTCCTCTGTGGCTTGCCCTTGTGGACAGCATCCTTGGTTAGTGATAGGTAACTGACATTGAATTACATCCTGCTCACTGTGGTCTTTGAATAGTTTTTGTACTGAGTTCAAGGAACTCTTACTCATGTGTGATCTGGAAGGTGGTAATGATTGCCCTTATTTTAGTGGTAGCTGTACTGACATGAGACCCAGGCTCTTGCTGAATGCTGGTATACAGGGAGCATGCCTCGTTTTCTTCATCTAGCTGTGGGTGGGAGGCCATACTGAGGGGAGGGGTCAGTAGCTCTACGAGGAAGGGTGCATGAAGGAACTCTGTACTCAGTTCAGCCAGGTGGTGAGCCCTGGGAATATTTTTTCCACCCTCTCAATGGCCTAGTTGTTTTTTCCTTTGTCCTTTTTCTTTTTCATTTTCCATTAGAGTTTCTTTTGCCTTCCTGCCTGCTTTCCTTCCTTCCCTTCCTTCCCTTCCTTCCCTCCCTTCATTTCCCTCCCTTTCCTATCCTTTCCCTCCCTTTCCTTTCCTTTCCTTTCCTTTCTTCCCTCCCTCTCTCCTTCCCTCCCTCCCTCCTTTTTTGGTGGTGCTAGGGATGAACCAAGGACCTCATTCACACTAGAAGCACTTTACTACTTAGCTACACACTCAGCCCTGTCTTTTTTCAATTATTGCTTTAAACAGTTGTTGATTCATTTGGCATTTTAAAAAATAATGTTGAAGCTTTGTTACTGCTCCCCCCTCCTTCCTCTCCTTGACATATTATTCATGAAACTAAGGAACAAGATAAAAGGTCTCTTCTTCTAGACAGAGAAAAGGAGACAGGTGATTTCCAAAATAGTTTGAATTTTTCTTTTTTTTTGCTAGTCTTGTGGCTTGATGGGGCTTGAACTCAGGGTCTGGGCACTGTCCCTTAGCTGCTTTTTACTCAAGGCTAGCACTCTACCTCCTGAGCCACAGAACCAGTTCTAGCTTTTTCTGTTTATGTGGTACTGAGGCATCGAACCCAAGGCTTCATGTGTGCTAGGCAAGTACTTTACCCGTAACTTCTAGCCTAGGTTGAATTTTTAACATAAGTTTGAAAGGCATAAGGAGGCTGATAGACTTTTCAGTAGCCCTGGATTATTTGAAATGATATGAAAGAACCTGAGAAGCTCTGGCATGACCCATGGTAGAAGAGGGAGTGAACTGAGGGTTCTAGACTTGGGTGACAGTCTCAGTTCTGGTTGAGTGTGAGTTTCTGGAGTTCCTTGTTAGCAATGCTCTCTTCTATGATTTTGGAAAATGAGGACAGTCAGATAGCCCTGCACGATCAGGCTGGTTCTGAGGATTTAGATCAAGCTCCTCAAGTTTGAGTTTGTGCAGGGATAGGTGTGAGGTAGGAGGGCTACCTGGGTTTAGGGGGTTTTAGGCCTCTGAAAGTGTGTGTGCCCCTAGCTGGGTAAGGTTTACAGTGAATATGTTCAGGATATAGTTGAATTTGTTAGGGTTTTCCTAGCCCCAAGGTTCTATGACTGGACATGTAAGGAGTACCAACTTATGCCTTTGGTAGAAGGGTACTAGAGTTTTGAAATCTCAGGCCACTGGATGAACTTTTCCTCATGTGTCCCTCTTAGGAAATTTCTGGGAACCCTCCGTAAGTATAGCAGGTTTTATAAAATTATCTGAAGAACTTGAGGTCTAGATGATACCTCAGGGATAGCTTAGCTGCTAGTTTTCAGGCTTTGGTTGGTAGTAAAGTCCATGTCTTCACATCAGTTCCTCTGTAGAGGTTTAGCTTATAAAAAATAAACGAAATGTCCCTGATTTCTCTGGGGATGTGGGTCATGGTACTTAGGTCCTCCACACACTATTGCTGCCCCTTTGTGCTGAGCCCCAGGTTCCATGTGGCAAGGGTGCAGGCCCTCTTTATAGAGGGAAACTGGGCCCCCGAAAACAATGTATATTTGGCCTGAGGGAGTTTTTAACTTTTCTTCTCGCTTTGGTTTCTGTGTTACTTTAAAGGGAGGGTGGGTTTCTGTCAAGGGCTTCTCAAGGGCTGAGGTAGCACATATAAAATGCTTTCTCTTAGTTTTCTCTGCATGTTTGTATGCCCATCTAGGAAACACAGCCTGAGCAGGGACTTCTGCCTTCTTCCCTCTTCCTCCGTGGTCCATCCCCTCTCCCAGCACCTGGGCTTGCTGATCTGGACTTAGATCAAGAGATGCAGGCTAAAAGTGAGGGTTCCTTTAAGAAAGGGAAGAGTCCATGTATGCCTCTTATGGGTGCCCTCCCTAGCAAATTGCAGCCACTCTCCAAAGGCCAAGCTTCCAGAACCCATCCGATCTTTGCCGACGTGGAGAAAATCTTAGGCAGGGTTCCAGCCCAATGTAGGACAGAATTAGGTGATCAGCAGGGTCTGGAGATACCCCAGAAGGCAACAGAGAAAATCTACCTGGGGTTTTCCGACCCTGAAATAGAAGAGCTGGAAATAAGGACCAGACAGCAGAAACCTGGTGCCCTATGCCCTCAGAACACTGGGCCTTTCCTAGATGGGCTAGGATGCAGGACCAAGATCCCTGTCCACACCAAGCTTTCTGATACCATCGATGGCCTGCAGCTGAAAGGGGAGCAACAGAGCCACAGCATAGCCACACTGAGTCCAACTGGCCCTGGAGCAGACAAGGGTCAGAGTTTCATTCCCTTGCTGCCCCCTGAGGAAGAACCCTCTTTGTCCCTTTGTTCTGACCACATGTTGTCTCCTCCGAAGTACAAGTTCTTACTAGATAGCAGCCCAGCTGAAGACCTGAGCTGGCAGCACGTCCTCGGGGAAGGTGTGGGTCTGGGCTGGGGGAGGCGAAGGAGAGAGACTGCAGGACTGTGGATGGGGCAAGTCTCCAAGCATGTCAATAAGGACATCCCAGGGAGTTGCAAAGAAACTGAGCCTGATGCCTCTGCGGCTCCAGGGGCGGCCACAGCCGAAGATCCACCCCAGGGCCTTTTACTAATACCACCCGATACCCTGGCATCAGAACCAGCTCGGAATGCCTCTGCAGGGGATTCGCCTAAAGAGAAGACACCCCCCCAAGAATCTCCAGAGACCCTCAGGGAAGATAGGAATCCTAGTGGGTCTGAGGCTGGCTTGGAGAGCAGCAGTGGCAGTTGTGGCAGCCCAGCCTCACCCTTGGGCTCTCATATCCTAGGTGAGGTGCACAATATCCCTTGGGACCTGCAGAGCTCTTGGGCATCTGTGGTAGTCACGGGTCCGTCAGGCCCTGGGCCCAGGGACCCAGCCTCCTGTCCTTACCTGGTGCCTGAGCTGTCCCAAGTGCAGAGCTCTGCTGAGGAGCAGTCACACAGTGAAGACTACTCTGAGGATCAGAGGCTCTACCAGCACATCCTGCAGATGGTCAAGATCTCCAGGCAGCTAGAGGGCCTGGGGCTGCCCCAGAGCATGCAGGAAACGCCATGCAAAGACATCGCCAGCATGGTCTGTTTCATGGCCACAGAGTCTTCCAGGATGTCTAGTGAGGGTGAGAATGAGGCCGTCAGAGCCATGGAGAGGGACCCAAGATTTCTAACCTGGGGCCCAGAGCTGCTGGAACATCCTCAGGAGCTGGCCCTGGCCTCTGAAGGACAGGAGGCCTCTCAGCAAGCACATTGCCAGCCAGGCAGCAGCTCCCCCCAGCAGGGGCTGGTAGAGCTGAGTTCTGACACTGGGCTCACTGCAGAGCCAGGCGAGATGAAGCTTCTTAACCAGGTAGGCATCTCAGAGAGAATGGCCTAAAGCCCCAGGCCTTGGTGACCGGAGCAGGGCGGGGGAGCTGGTGGAGCTGATGTAGCTGACGTCGCTGATGTCTACTACAGCCACCCAGTCTGCTTTCTTGTTCCCTTCTCTTGGTAACTGTGCTAACTGTTCTTAATTCCCTAAGTGGCCATCCTATTGGGATGATAGGTATTTCAAATTAGTTCTGCTCTATTACCTGCAAGGTAGAATTGAATGTATTTATGATTTCCTTTCCTTGCATCTAACTGTAATTCATAGGTGGCTCACATGATTGCAGGTGACTGAGTGTGAGTGTGGACAGGGTGGCCTTTCCCCAGGATATGGGGTACCCTCAGGGATTTGGGAAGCCTTTCCCTTGAGTTGATTCTAGAGAGAGGGAGGCACCCTACTCCAAAACTCTGAACTCATCCCTTCTGGGAGGCATACAGAACCAGAGTTAATATTTTCACAAAGGAGTAAAGCTCACAGTTCTCTATCATCTAGTCAGCTGCTTCTGTCCTTTTCTCTTAGGGTCCCCTGAAAATTGCATGACCAACCAGTGTCATTCTGTATAGATCATATTTGTGACTTCATTTCTTTCCCCACTGGGATTTGCTGAGGGCCTGTCATTCTGAGTCTTTGTTGCCTCAAAAAGTGACCCTTTTCTTCATTCAGAAGGAGTCAAGTTGGATCAGAGGCCATGGTGATCAGTGTCAACTTTGCTGTGGTCCAGCTGTGGCTTTACCCAGTTGTTCCCTCTGGTTCCTAATTGCCAACAGAACTGGTACTCGGTTAGTGCTAATAACTACTGTAGCACTATAAATATCAGATAAGCTTCAGATTATCCTGAAAGTTTTAATTAGCCCAATGGCAGCAAGTTTATCTGCTCTGGAAGGACAACGCCACGCGTAGCCCCACACTCAGAGTTAATGGCCAGCTATAGAAGATGATCAGCTAGGAGCCAGGAATGTATAATTTCCCTGCTAACCACTGATTTAGTAAAGGCCTGGGAGAACAAAGCCCTCAGCATGCCTGTCTCCTTGCTCAGGCCCCCAGTACGCTAGCAAATTAGCCATGTTAGGAGTCTGTAATTTTCTATAAATACAGTGTGGGAAGAATGGTGCTTGCTGATACGCTGGGGCTGTTGGAAGGGCTGAAGATGGGAGGAGCAGGCTGTTGGCTTGCAGTTCACTCAAAGAAGCTTTTTTCTTTTTGGCTTTTGATCCTGCTGGATTCAGAAGGCAGCATGAAGTACGATAACCCAGGGCTCACTTCCATCACTGCCCCTCTGTGACTCTGTGACTTTGGACTCTTGACGACCTTACCCACCTCGGGTTGTTGTGAGAGTAAAATGAGACATTGTGCCAGTGGCTGGTGCTCAAGCCTTTCTCAGTTGTCCGTCAGTAGTGCCTTTTCTGCAACAGGCCAGATGATGAGGAATCTGCACAGGTTCAGGAGTGGGGCTCATCTCCCCTTTCTTTCAACTGAGCCTTTGTGTATACACGTGTGTGTGGGGCGGGGTAGGGGTAGTGGGTCCTGGGGCTTGAAGTCAGGAGGGTATGGGTGCTATTTCTGAGCTTTTTAGGCTAAAGGCTAGTGCTCTACTGAGTGAGCCACAGCTCTACTTTTTTTTTTTTTTTGGTGATTAATTGGAGAGACTCACAGACTTTCCTGCTTAGGCTTGCTTCAAACCACAATCCTCAGATCTCAGACTCCTGAATAGCTTATGGCATGAGCTACGGGCACCTGGCATCAGATGCCTTTGATGCCCTCCCTGTGCAGAAGCAAGCTTCTCTGGGGCATGCCTGGTGGCCTGGCCCCTAGGTTAGGCTGTGGTGGAGAAGATGGCTGACTTGAACAAAGATTTCCATCTCTCTTCAGTCCCTGTGGAATTAGATTTTTTTTTCTTTTCTGTCTTGGGGCTTGAACTCAGGACCTGAGCTCTCTCCCTGAGCCTCTTTGTGCTCAAGGCTAGCACTCTATCACTTGAGCCACAGCGATACTTCCAGCCTTTTTTGAGTTGTTTATTTGGAAATAAGAGTCTCATGGACTTTTCTGTCTGTGCTGGCTTCACACTGTGATCCATAGATCTGAGCCTCCTGAGTAGCTAGGATTACAGGTGTGAGCCACCGGCACTCAGTTAGGAATGGCATTTTTGCTTTGTTCTATGCATTTTAAATTTGAGAAAAAGAATTTTGAAGAGCTTTTCATAAATTGACCCCAGGATGCTATCCTAGCCTCTATTTCTATTAAGCCCAGATGATCACAGTGTGAATGCCATAATATTGACATGGCCCTGACTCCTGACCCTGACTCTCAAAAGGTCCCTTGCTTTCATCTGACTGGAGCAGCTCTGCAAACCTCAGGGCATAGCAGGTACCCTGGTGGATTAGTAAACTGGGGTTTCACACCTTCTGACCCCATCCTGGTCCCCCTTTCCCTCTCCTTCCTCACTAGTATGGAGCCTTTGCATGGCCCTCCTGAGAAGAGAGAAGAGAAGACCTGGTCAGTCCACTGCCGCCCCTTCCCCTGGGCAAGAGACCTTCTAGCCCCTTTCCTCATCAGTAGAGAGGGGGAAGAGTTCTTTTTGTTGCTCAAGCATACTTTTCACAGTTACTTACTTTGATTAAAGGCAGACGTGCCCATAGTTGAAGTCAAAGCTCCTGACAGGTATACAATAAAAAGGAGCAGTCCTCCGTGTGCAGCGCCGCCCTCCTCAGAAGCCTCCCCTTCTTTCCTGGTGTTTACTTCCATCTTTGGTAATCATATGCTGAGGCTGCTTTTTCTTGATACATCAGTTTTAAACATTATCTATTGAAATTTCTTCTGGTAGCTGAGGGTTTTATGTCTGCCTTTCCTTCCCGCATACTTCTGTATGGCTTCTGGAAGGAGAACAGAACCCATGCAGCATCTGCCAGATGTGAGAGAACTGTTTATGTGAGATGGCATCCGAGAGATGTGATTTCTCACACAGTTGGTACAATGGTAATTTCTGGATGTTGTGTTTCATTAGCAGCCTCCAAGTGGAGGCGGTTTAAATTTGAGCGGGCAAGATTTAGATGTTTTATTTTTATATCTGTCTCCAACATTTTCAGAGTCACATGGTATCTGGGGTTTGTAACAAAATGTTTTCTGTCGCCCAGGCCCTGGGTTCCTCCTTAGCCCCAGTGCACGTTCCTCTTTGGGGCCTGGGGCCTTTACGAGGTCATGCGGATGTCCCTCCCTCTGCTGTACTTGGATCTCAAAGCATGAGCCCAGGTAGCGCAACTGAGTCTGGCCAGCTTGGAGAACTCACACTGGTGAGTACTTTTTCTGCTGGGCAGTGTGTTTAGTTGCAGAGCTGCCTTTGTGCCACACTGAGAAACAGAGAAACAGAGCCTAAACTGGGTCTTTGAGTTCATAATCTAGTTCAGGAGAGGAGTCCTGCCTCTGTGGTGCTGGATGTGGACTCTGGACAGAGAAAGGTGGACTGTGGTGCCATAGGGATGTACTGCTCCTGTTCCCTCCCACATAGCCCAGGCAGTGGGAGTTGGAGGAGGGAGTCAATGTTGTGAGGGGGTGGGGTCACTGTTCAGTTTCATGGGTTGGGCGGGACTTGGTTGGGAGCCATCAAGAAAGGAAGTGGAAGCCCGGAGCTGGTGGCTCACGCCTGTAATCCTAGCTACTCAGGAGACTGAGATCTGAGGATCGCGGTTCAAAGCCAGCCCGGGCAAGAGAGACTGTAAGACTCCTATCTCCAATAAACCACCAGAAAACCGGAAGTGGCGCTGTAGCTCAAGTGGTAGAGCGCTTGCCTTGAGCTGAAGAGCTGAGGGATAGCGCCCAAGCCCAGAGTTCAAGCCCCACGACTGACCAAAAAAAAAAAAAGAAAGGAAGTGGGGGAGTCATTCCAGGGTTATTGGGAAGGGCTTCCTGATGAGTTCTTACATGTTCCTTCTCTCTTTTGGAGCCTCCACAGCCTCTTAAGACTTCTGCTTGTGCAAGAGGTCTCTTGGGCACCATCCATCAGGACAAGAATGCTCTCAACCTCTTGGCCTTAGGGGAGGAGACCAATGAGGAGGATGAAGGGGAAAGTGACAACCAGGTAATGTTCAAGTCCTCTCCCTGGTCTATAAATGCTCTGTGCTATTTGCCATTCTAGTGTGTGTGTGTGTATGTGTGTGTGTGTGTATGTGTGTTCTAGTACTGGGACTTGAATTAAGGGTCTTGTGTATTTGCTTTATGTTTTTACTCAAGGCTGGCTCTCTGCCATTTGAGCCATATCTCCATTTCTGGCTTTTTGCTGGTGAATTGGAGATAAAAGTCTCATGGACTTTTCTGTCTGGGCTGGTTTTGAATCTGGAGCCTTAGAGATCAGCTTTCTGAGTAACTAGGATTACAGGCATGAACTATCAGCACCCAGTCATTTTAACAGTTATTTTTTTGGGGGCTGGGAAAGTGGCTCAGTGGTAGAGCACTTGCCTCGCATGCTCGAGGCCCTGGGTTCGATTCCTCAGCACCACATAAGAAAAAAGCCGGAAGTGGTGCTGTGTCTCAAGTGGTAGAGTGCTAGCCTTGAGGTGAAGAGCTGAGGAACAGCACCCAGGCCCAGAGTTCAGGCCCCATGACCGGACCCCCCAAAAAAAAACAAAAACAAAAAACAGTTTTTTTTTTTGTGACAGTCCTGAGGCTTGAACTCAGGGTCTGGGCACCATCTCTGAGCCTTTTTGCTTAAAATAGTGCTCTACCACTTAAGCCACAGTTCCACTTCTTTTTTGGGTGGTTAATTGGAAATAAGACTCTTATAGACTTTCCTACCTGGGCTGTCTTCAAACCATGATCCTCTGATCTTAGCCCCCCTGAGTAGCTAGGATTACAGGACTGAGACACCCGCCTGGTTCACTTTAACCATTTTTAAGTGTATGGTTCAAAGGTGTTAAAAACTAATAATGTTGTGCTACTGTCACTGCTATCAGTTTCTAAAACTTATTCATAATTCCAAATAGAAGCTATATCCATTCAATGGTAGCTCTTTCCAGTCTCTGGTGATTTCTAATCTAGTCTGTGAATTTGCCTGTTTGAGAGATGTCTTATCAGCACCAACATAAACAATATTTTTCTTCTTGTATTTGGCATCTTTCACTTAGTAAATTTTCAAGGTTCGTGTTATAGCATGTATTAGAATTTCATTACTTTTGAAGGTTAAATGATACTCCAGTGTATACATATTTTGCTTTTCCACTCAGTTCTTGTCGAGTGCATGATGCTATTTTAAAGTAAAAATGAGTGAGTATGGTAGGCACACCAGGGAGGTGGGCCTTGGAGGATCACAGCATCAGAGTTTGCAACGTGCCATTTCAGTCAAGACTAAGTCTAGTGGCACGCACCTGTTATTTGGGTGCAGTACACAAGCTTGTCATCCTAGAGACAAAGGAAAGCCCAATTAGGAGGGTCGAAGTCCAGGCTTACCTGGGCAAAAAGTTAAGACCCTTTCTTGAGGATACCAATACAAAAAGGGACCAGCTCAAGTTGTAGACTGCTGGCTTAGCATTCTGAGTTCAGATCTCAGTACTGTCAAAAAAAAAAAAGTAAAAAATGGATTTCCAGATGATAGCCTCCTTTCTTGATTGGTCTATATGCCTGCTAGGTCTGATCCGGAAAGTAGAACCAACAGGAGCTGGCTGGCACAAAGCATTGTGCACGCCAGTGAGGCCTTCTTAGTAGAGGACCTTCCCTGGAGTCCTCTGAGACCTTGCCTGGATACTATCTGTTAGCTCAGCCCTACCCTGTCCTCCCTCTGCAGGCCCTCACCTGGGCTGACCAATCCCCTTGAACTTAACTATTTGTTTTTTTGTCGGTCGTGGGGCTTGAACTCTGGGCTTGGGTACTATCTCTCAGCTCTTCAGCTCAAGGAGAGCGCTCTACTGCTTGAGTCACAGCGCCACTTCCAAACTTAACTACTTGTCTTTTTCTTTTTTTGGCGGTTGTGGGGCTTGAACTCTGGGCCTGGGCGCTGTCCCTCAGCTCTTCAGCTCAAGGTGAGCGCTCTACCACTTGAGCTACAGCGCCACTTCCGGTTTTCTAGTGGTTTATTGGAGATAGGAGTCTCACGGCCTCTCCTGCCAGGGCTGGCTTTGAACCATGATCCTCAGATTTCAGCCTCCTGAGTAGCTAGGATTACAGGCGTGAGCCACCGGCGCCTGGCTCAAACTTAACTTCTTGTAACCGCTTGTTTCCAGAGTGCCCGAAGTCCCAGCGAGCTTCTTAAGAATCTGCACCTGGACCTTGAGGCCCTGGGGGATAACTTTGCCTATGAGGTGAGACATGAGCTTGTTGATAAACACATGTCAGTGTGCCCCTCCTTCCTTCTAGGCTTTTCTTATCAGTAGGAGGCATATTTGGAAAGAGAAGCATTTTGTCTAGTCTTGATCAGAATTTCTGGAGTTTGGAGCATTTTTTGGTTTATTTATGTATCAGATAACCATTTATTATGGAAAGTTCCCACATGGAGCTCTTTGCTAAGTGCTATAGGTCACATGAGTGTAAATGAGATATGCTTCCTGCCTGCTCAGATTATAAAGTCTCGTAGACTTTAGGGGAAGAAATTTGTTGTCTGGACTTCAGGGAAACCTGTTGGAGATGACATTTGGCCTGTGTCTTGAAAGGTAGCTAAGTTTTAGATTTGGAGGTTATAAGAGAATAATATAGCAAATGAACAGCTTGAACAAAAGTTCAAGGACTGAAATACGGTAGTCTGTTTTCTACTGTCATCAGAATGTTCGTGTGTGTGTGTGTGTGTGTGTGTGTGTGTGAAATGAGGCTTGAACTCAGGTCCTGGGTTTGTGTGTGTGTGTGTGTGTGTGTGTGTGTGTGTGTGTGTGTGAGAAATGAGGCTTGAATTCTGGGCCTGGGCGCTGTCCCTCAGCTCTTCAGCTCAAGGCGAGCACTCTACCACTTTGAGCTACAGCGCCACTTCTGGTTTTCTGGTGGTTTATTGGAGATAGGAGTCTCACGGTCTCTCCTGCCCAGGCTGGTTTTGAACCGAGATCCTCAGATCTCAGCCTCCTGAGTAGCTAGGATTACAGGCGTGAGCCACCGTCTCACAGACTTTCCTGCTGGCTTTGAACTACAATCCTCAGATCTCAGCCTCTTGAGTAGCTAGGATTACAGGCATGAGCCACCAGCACCTGGCTCAGACTGTTCTCTGTAAAGAACAGTAAATCTCATCTTGGTGTTGAAATAACTGTTTGTCTTTGTATTTGGAAAGGAACATTCCCTACTATATGTTTTTTGTCTAGTCTGATTCTAGTGTGTGCGTGCATGTGTGCGTGTGTGTGCACCAGTCCTGGAACTTGAACTCAGGGCCTGGGCACTGTTCCTGAGCTTTTTGGTTAGGCATAATCAGATATGTTTTGATTGTGACTTCAGCATTTTCTAACAAATAGGGTACTTTTTCCCCCTAAATGTCCCATCTGTATCATCCACCTGATACATTCTTACTTTGGCACTCTTCCTTCTGATTGGGGCCTGGTCTGGGGTAAAGAATTTAGTGTGGGGGCTGGGAAGGTGGCTCAGTGGTAGAGCACTTGCCTTGCATGCATGAGGCCCTGGGTTCGATTCCTCAGCACCACATAAGCAAAAAGAACTGGCCCCCCCCCCCAAAAAAAAAAAAAGAATTTAGTGTGCTTGGAGCCAGGTGCTGATGGCTCACACCTGTAATCCTAGCTACTTAGAGGTTGACATCTGGGGATTGTGGTTCACAACCAGCTTGAGCAGACAAATCTGTAGCCTCTTAACTCCAATTAACCAGCAAAAGACCAGAAGTGGAACACCAGCCTTGAGCAAAGAAGCCAAGCAAGAACATAAGGCCCTTAGTTCAAGACCCAAAAACCAACCCCCCCCCCCCACTCTGAATGTGTTTGGTTTCCTAGTTTTCTGACGCGATAGCTTTATTTTCTTATCACCTACCACTAATCAATATAGACAGATTGATGGAATAAAAAGGAATTGATTAGGTTTGTGCCTGGGAAGATGAACTTGGGTAGGAGTGTCAGGAAGGAAGTCTTGCATTTCCTAGAGACTCAGCAAGTTCAGGGTGGATTCTGCCTCATTCATGTCTGTATGTCTTAACACCTAGCCCAGTTACCTAGAACATAGGAAGTGCTTTGGTATATTTTGTTCAACAATTGAGGAAATGAATAAATGAGCTATACTGGGGTGAGGTGAGTGGTATCTAGGCAGATTGTGAGGCTTTTTTTCCCCTTCCTTTGTCTTTCTCAGTTTCTGGGTTGAGTAGATAGTTGGTACTACTATCAGCTGGTGGGTTGAAGATTCCAGTGTAGATTGGTCATGGTTCACTCTGACTTTGGGCAGACTTTTACTTCATAATGAGTTTCAAATGTCCACAAAACAGATACTTCTTTGACATGTCTTGGATTCTAAAACTTTCTCTTTAACGATATGTGCTTTTTTGGGGGACTGGGAGTTTTTAAACATTTTTTTATTTTTATTTTTTTTATTGTGAAAATACTGTACAGAGGGGTTACAATTACATGGGCAAGATAATGAGTACATTTCTTACCAAGCATTGCAGCCTCCCCCTTTGTTTCCCCTTCTCATCCCTTGATCTCTTTGGCACCACGGTGAGGTGGTTCACAGTGTCTCTCATCCCAGTCTCTAGCATACAGCAAATTCATTTCTTTTCACCACATGGAGTGTTTGGATTGCTATGGAGGAATTAGGCAGAAATAAAACTTTTCTGTTGGGAGATTAGTGATGGGGATGAATGAGGGGTTCTAGACAGGCAAAGCTACCCCTGTGTGGTCCTTGTCCTTTGGAATGGCTTTCATCTCAGTTATAGTCCTTGGCTCCTCTGGGCTGTCCACCTTCCCTTGCCCCTGGCCATTGCAGGCAGCCCATGATAGCTCTCCTTCATGGGTTTGCTTTCCCCCTGTTTCACTGAGCAGTCACTTTGCACAGGATTCCATGAGAGGGCAGTAGGATGGCAAAAATACAGCTCTGTTTCCTTCTCCCTCCGCTGGTGTCAGATCCATTTCTAGTCTATTACAAACCAACAGGGAAAGGTGCGTGAGTGGGGGAGGTAGAGGAGTGGTAAGCAGGCAGTGTGTATGGCCATATGGTGCTGAAGAAAGCCCATCAGCTGGACGGAGGAGCGGGAGGAGCAAGGGCTTAGCAATCACAGGATGATGTCAGTGTGATTGGAAGCGAGAACTACACCAGGGAGCTGTGTGAAGAATTGAGACCAACTGGATGAGTATGAGACTTGGAAAATAAATCAGACTGATGTTTGTCTTGGTGGAGGTCTTCCCAGAGCAGGGTTAATGCTACTACTGCGCCCCCCCCCCTGCAGTGCTGTAAGGATCATAGGAGCCTTGCCTGTTGTCCTGGTAGGGGGTACAGATGGCCATGAACCTGGAGCGCTCATGGCTTTTGGGGAATGTTAAATATTCATATTTATGGGATGGTTCTTACAGACTCCTCCACACATACTCTTTGTGCAGATGGTAAAGTCTTACAGCTTGGGCTGTGGCAGGAGACAGAGGAATGTGAACATGGACAGGCCCAGGGTGAAGCTGGGTTCCCACTGAGCTGGGATGGGAGGCTGTGATGCCTGAGTGTGGATGCTGGTTGGGGGCTTCAGGCTTTGGGTTTGGGTGACAGACAAGCATGGAGTCAGATGTGATGCTTCATGTCCATTTGTGGATGGTCTGTAGCCAGTGTTTGTCTCCAGTGACTTAGACTCATCACTGAAATTAGTCTACATTTGTGCAGAAAGTACAGTCGTTTATTTTAATAATAACCATTTTTAAACAACATATTTAGGCAGGCAGACTAAGGTCAGTCCTGTGATGTGAAAAGTCTGTTTTGGAGGGTGTTGAGGATCAAACCCAGTGCCTTGTTGTTACATACTAAGTATATATTCTACCAACAAATGGTGTCCCAAGCTAAAAATCTTTTGAGGATTTAAACTTGAGAGTTGAATAGACTGGAGCAAAGATTTTTTTTTTTTGTCAGTTGTAGGACTTGAACTTGGGGCTGGGGTGCTGTCCCTGAGCTCTTTTGCTCAAGGCTAGCACTATACCACTTTGAGCCACAGTACAATTTCTGGTTTTCTGGTGGTTAATTGGAGATACGAGTCTCAATGGACTTTCTTGACTGAGCTGGCTTTGAACCGCCATCCTCAGATCTCAGCCTTCTGAGTAGTTAGGATCACAAGGCCTGAGCCACGAACACCTGGCTGAGCAAAGATTTTTATAATCTGATAATGTAATGTTACCAGATTAATGTTTTCTCAGGTTTTTGATTTTTTTCTTTTTTCTTCTGCAGTATTTGAGCTCAAATCTAGGGCTTTGGACATACTAGACAGTGTTCTATTGTGGAGTCACACTCTAACCCACTGATATCCATCCACTGTTTTGATGGGCTACTTGTTTTTTTTTTCATCATTTTGAATAGTTAATGAATAGTTGAAGTTTGTTAAGCTATTTTTCCTTTCAAAATCACCTTAACAAATAGCCTAATCTCTGTATGACTTTGATGCATAAATATTACATTGCCTTTTGGCAGAAATGGGAAGCCTCAACTTTACATCTATACTACATGCTCATCCTTTTAAAAGTGTTTAGCCAATAAGACTTTACCCTGTTATGTGCCAGGTCTTGAGCACAAGAGGGTGCTATCTCTTGAGGGAAACAGACAAGGATACCAGCAATTGTAATATAGCTATTATGGCAGAGGATGGGGAAGACTCTGCCCCAGGAATCAAGAAGGACTGGAAGAGCCAGTGATCTGTGGGGACCAGTTTCAGTTTGTTAGGAGAGAAGTGGGGTGGAGAGAGATTTTGTTTTAAAGGCTGGGGATTTGATTCAGTGATAGAGTACATGCTTATATATGCAAGGCCCTCAGTTGTATCAAATTAATCGATTAAAAAAAAAACTGTGAGCCGGGTGCTGATGGCTCTTGTCTGTAATCCTAGCTACTCAGGAGGCTGAGATCTGAAGATCATAGTTCGAACCCAGCCTCAGCCTAGGTAGGAAAGTCCATGAGACTCTTATTCTTAATAAACCAATAAAAAGCCAAAAGTGGAGCTGTGACTCAAGTGGTAGAACACTAGCCTTGAGAAAAATAACTCAGGGACAGCGTCCAGGCCCTGAGTTCAAGCCCCAGAACCAGCACCAAAAAACAAATTACTCCCCCCCTCAAAAAACCCCAAAACAACAATGTACATAACATATTATTTGTTTCTTTGTTGGTCTTGAGGCTTGAACTCTGGGCCTGGGGACTGTCCCTGAGCTCTTCATTTTAAGGCTAGCACTCTACCACTTGAGCCACAGTGCCACTTCCAGTTTTCTGGTGATTAATTGGAAATAAGAGTCTCACAGACTTTCCTGCCCGGGCTGGCTTTGAACCATAATTCTCAGATCTCAGCCTCCTGAGTAGCTAGGATTACAGGTGTGAGCTCCCAGCTCCCAGCTCCATAACACATTCTTGACATTAAATACCATTTATCCACAGCAGAAGACTCTGTGTGTGTGTGTGTGTGTGTGTGTGTGTGTGTGTGTGTGTGTGTGTGTGTGTGTGTAGGGTATGGCTGGAAATGAGCTCTGAGCAGCCCAGCTCCATAACACATTCTTGACATTAAATACCATTTATCCACAGCAGAAGACTCTGTGTGTGTGTGTGTGTGTGTGTATGTGTGTGTGTGTGTGTGTGTAGGGTATGGCTGGAAATGAGCTCTGAGCAGCTGGCAGGCAAGTGAAGAGGCGTGGACTTTGTCCAGGAGGCACTAGGTACTGTCTGGGGTCTGACACCTCTTCTTGCCTCCTTATCCAAGGTCTCTTGCTAGTTGGTGTTTTTGGGGGGCCAAGCTTCAATCCCAGCTTCAAGCAAGAAAGCCTTCCTTAATCTTGGCCCAGCATGCACTTGGCCAGGTTAGATTGTCCCTCCTTGCTAAGTGAGGAGTGTGGCTAGCTAGACACCCCTTGCCCACCCCAAGAATCTTTCACCTTCTCCTTGGAGACCAGGTGTGGAGCTCCTGCTGAGTGCTGCCTGTTGCTGGGGGCGTGGGGCTGAGGCCTGGCCAGAGCTGGAAGCTGCTTGTCTGAAGGATAGAAGCTTCTTTGCTCAGTGATCGCAGCATATTCACTCCGTTTGAGCTTGGGATGCAGGGAGGTGGCACTGGGCGGTCCCTGCCTCTTCTCCTCCCACCTCTGCTTTTCTTCCAGGGTCAGTCTTGGAGCTAGTGATAATGCCATCCCTGTCTCTAGTGCTTCTTTGCTTTGGGCAGTCGAGGCTCATAACAAGACCCATCTGGAACATTTTACTTTTCTCAATGTTGGCTCAGTTCCCTGAGGGCATAATCTATGTCTGGTCATACTTAGTTTCCTCAAGGTGGTATTGTGCCCATAGATGGTGCTGAGTGGATGAATGAGGGAATCTCATCATTAAACATGGGTTAACATTTATGAGACACTGACAGCATACCAGGCACAGTTCCACTGAATGCTAACTTAGTGCTCGTTCATTTAATCTTCCAAGCATCCCTGTGAGGCAGATACGACTTAGATCCTTGTATATAAGAGGAAGAAACTGAAGCACAGAGAAATGAAATAATCTGCCTACTGTTAAGAGCTTTTTCTGCATCTCTGCATCTGCAAATATAGAGCTAAGATCTAAGCTTAGGCATTCTGTCTCCAAAGCTGACTCTAAACCATGCTGCTTTACTGTCTCCACCATCCTTGATGCTTGGTTAGCTTGTAGGTAAGCCGCCAGACCTTCAGGCAATGACCATGTCTTTGGGCTTCACAGATACTTTATCAGAGAGCATCAGTAGATTCCATATTTTGGGTGTCTCCTTTGACCTTTCCTCTCTTTAGTTGTGATAGCTGGTTTTCTGCCACTATAACGAAATAACTGAAAGAATTTAACAACAACCAAAAAGGTTAAATTTGGCTTAAAGTTTCAGAAGTGCACATCCATGATTGATTTGGCCCCGTTGTTTTGGGCCTGGGATGAGGCTGCACATCCTGATGTGAATGTATGGTAGAGTAAAATAACTTTCATTGTATCCAGGAGTGAAGAAAGGAAGGGACTAAGGTACTACAGTCCCCTTTAAGGGAATGCTCACAATAACCTAAAGATGAGGTCTCACTTCCGAAAAAGTTCTGTCCTTCCTAATAGTGCCACCCCAGGCACCAATTATCCAAAACTCAGGCCTTTCAGGGCCATTCCAGATCCAAACCATAGCATTAATCATGCTTCTTGTTTGAGTTTTTAGGATAGGGAATCAAGAAGTCTTGAAAATCCCTCATCAGAAGTTGTTCAGCCTGACAGCCTAAGTGTTGTTAAGCACAGATGTTTTCTGTGGGGAAGGCTTCTCAGCCTGAGCCCAAGAGAGATCACTGGCTCTATTTCCAAGAGAAGATTTTCTGTTTCTATTTTGGTCAACTTTAAAGAATTCAAGCAAAAGCATCCTTAGATTTTTACTAGTCTTTAGAGTACAGTCTGTGTATAAGAAACAGGGTGTGGCCACTGGCAAAGTGTCCTGCTCAGATCTCCTTTCAAAAGATCCTACTGAGCTGAGAGCCAGGGCTCATGCCTGTATTCCCAGCTACTCAGGAGGCTGAGATCTGAGGATCATGGTTCCAAGCTAATTCTGAACAGGAAAGTCCATAAGATTTACTTCTATTTAACCACCAAAAAGCCTGAAGTGGAGATGTGTCTCAAGTGGTAGTGTGTTAGTTTTCAATGAAAAAGTTAAGGGACAGCACCCAGGACTGAGTTCAAGTCCTAATACCAACACACAAGACACAGACATACACATAGACACACAGACACACAGACACACAGACACACACACACACA